AATACAACAAACCCTAAGGAGAGCGGGTAAGAGAGCTGTTAAGAACTTACGCAAAGGAAGGCTTTAATAAGATGTCCTAGTTTCATAACCCCCTGGACAGGTTCTTGGGGGATAACCATATTCTGGTCTAGCTTTGAAGGCGATATCTAATATACCTAATACATGGCAATGGCGAAGCATATTATATGCAATCTTCGGAGGCGATACTGATATATGGGAAACACATGACACCATATGTATCTCAGGTAGATAGAGAGGCCCCTTTCTTCTCTCTTGTTCCAAAAAAGAAGAAATCAAGCTCGACACTACCATATTGTGGTATTGCCACGAGCCCTGTACAGTACCAAATAATTATCTCCGTGATCAAGTTCTAGCTCCAAGAGAGCCGAATCTACAAATCTGTAATAAATCGACAATCGGTTCGTACATATCTAAGTGTTTGGTTCGTTCTTGCCTCAGTCCCCCTCTCCCCATAGGAAACAACTCGCTCTTCCCCTTTCAGGAACGACGCGGCAGTCATTCACTGTAGATCAGATTGTTGTCCCAGTCAACGTTTGGTCTTTTTTCCCTCTTCTGTCCACAATCAAAACTCGCTAAATTTGCGTGCCTCTAAGTGGTTACCCCTTCAACGCCGATTTTTGATGTGACCGCCTTGGACCACTGCACTTTTCCAGGGCTTATTTTGTTCGCTACCTTAGGTACTGGGCATTCATCTCATTCACATTCCCTCACTCGGGTACCGCATTGCACTTAGGCACTATTTTGCCTGTTTTCGCTCTGGCATCCTTTTTCATCCGCATTGAAGCGCCGTCTCATCAAAATCCGGATTCGCCCTGTATGCCCAACGAACACGTATTTAGCATGAGTCTGTACAAGGGCCGACATCGATCCAAGTAAGTACGATATATATTTAGTCTAGGATATTCGAGGCTTCCGTATTCACGGGAGTACACTATAGACTAGCCTCTATCCTATCTTGCTTGCGCCATTAGGTGCTTCGCAGTCATCGTCACAATGGAACTTTTGCTAATACCTTGTCAGGAGCATCGGTGCTCAATCGGACAGGCACAACCACTCAGAGCGATGCACTCCACACGAGGAAGACGAATATGGTGATAATGAGTTCTATATCCCTAGTGGGGGAGGTCTCTTCGTCACTCGGACTCGTAGTGGAAAGCCTGCTCTTGGTCGCAAGAAGTCAAAGAGCTTACTGGAAGACTATGGCTTTGACCTTCTTGGCCAGGCTTTTGGGGTCCCTTCTCGTATGGACTTCGAGAGGAAAGCTCGTCGCCGACTAAGCTTCCATTCTCCCACCCCAGCACCCAGCACCCCCTACTCATCTGCACCACGTGGCAAACTTAGCAAGTATAACAGCAACTCATTCGAGTCTTCAGAGGAAGATGCAACACCCACAAGACGTCGTAAGCGTCATATTCGCTCCGATTCAGCTTCTTCCGTCATCTGCAAACATCACTACCATTGCAACTGTGTCCTCCATCATGACCGATGCCATTATGAAGCGCCCGAAGCAACAGCTGCGACCTTGAAGCCCAGACCTACGCCCAAGTCTACGCCCAAGCCTATGCCCAAGCCCACGCCAACTAAATCAATCCTATCGACACCAGGAAAATCATCAATACCGGTGCCATCTGCTCGTCCACCTCCCGGGTGGAACTTTCAGCCACCCAGCACACCTGGTACGGCGTCTAACCAAGTCCAGCCTCCGATAAATTTTCCTGGAGGCCCCCAGGGGCAGGCTGCTCAGTTTGGGCCTTTGAATAACCTTCCAGCCTGGACACCACCACCTCAATTGGTGGCTAGTCCAATTTCTCCCGTATCACCCGGCTATCGGTCTTCTTCAATGCCCATCTTCTTTCAGCAACGGCCATCTCCAACACCGTATCCGGAGGTACAGCCACCCGCTCATGCTGTACCTGGAACTTCGTTCATCCCCCCTCCGCCACCACCTCTTCTCGCTCCGCATCAACCGCAAGGCTCAGCCAGCCCTTTCAGATACAGTCCCAATGAAGCCAAGAAGTTTGAGGAGCATTATAATGAGGCCTTGGGACGAAAAGCCGAGAAAAAGGAGGAGAAAGGAAAAGACAAGTATAGGGGTGACCAGGACGATGATTTTAGCAAGCATCTCCAGCATCGCCATTTCTGCGCAGCCTGTGGAGCCATGCGATCGAAGGCATACCACAGTAAACACCCTTTGGAAAAGGGTCAGAGACCACAGCCAGGGTACTGCCATAAATGCGAAGTAATTGCTGCTAGAGAGAGGGACAATCACAAAACCACCGAAGGAGCTATCGGAAGCAGTTTTAGAGACCCTATGCTTGGTATCAAGGCTGACACCGATCATTCTGGCCATAGCAACAACAAGGGGCACAAGAAGAACAGCCGAAGCCGCGGTTGGGCAGAAAAGGCGAGGCGTCTTAGTGTTTTTTCGACTTTTCTTCCGAGTTCGACAGCCTCAGCAGGTTTCACGCAACCATCTGAGACGACGATAGCATCCACCGAGTCAGAATATGTGCCTTCTGCACCCATTCCGCTCTGGGAAGCGGGACCTGATCGGATTGGGTTATCAGCACCGCCTGGCGGGCAGGCTGTGTCTCATGCCACTGCTAATACATTGCCGGCAGCGGTAGATGTGCCCAGTCGCGCTCGAGGTGGATTTCCTGACAAACATGAGGGACAAGTTTCGGAGACATTCGTTCAGACCAAAACCTCCAGCTCGCTAGGCAAGCCCGAGAGACAGAAGCAACGAGCGGCCGCACAGATACAGCAACAGACTGGTTCTTCAAATAAGGCAAATGATCAAACGCGAATCCCATCCGCAGCCAAGAAACCCGAAAGAGCTTCTAAAATTCCACGGCCCACCAATAGCAAGAACTCGTCCGAAGTAACATCGAAGGTCTCTACAACCGCAAAGGCCCCTGAACCATCGAAAGCTGCTCGCATGTACCACCAATCTCAGTATGATGACCCGGGACCGTCAGAACCTGCGCGCACGCACGATCCATCTCGATATAAAGCACCTGTCGTCGTAGATGAAGAGGATGAGGATGTCGTACTTCCTGCCATTCCTACTGTTCGTACTGAAACTTCGGGAAGGATCGAAACTCCTGTTTCTCATGTTCATTGGGGCAAATCCCGCGTAGGGGAGCCATTCAGTGAGACAGACCAGTATAAGCCTGATTATGAGAATAAGAAGAAAGATAGGGACCACCGCCACAATAGGAAGTGGAAAAGACCTTCACCTATGGTCCCCAGAACGACGAGAACGGAACAAATTCCTAAATTCCCAGGGTCCGCTCAAGAAGAGCGCCCTGATCATAGCCCCACCAGACGACATCGAGACGACCGTCGAAGAAACCGAGAAGCACACCTCCGTTTTGCAGACGAAGTCCCGTTAGGCCCAATGGAGGAGCCTGGATACACCAGTGAATGGGATTGGACACCGACACCTAACCCGTTCAATGCTAACACGGGTCCTATACCAGCCTTTACAGATGATTTTTGGGGAATCAAGCCGGAGGATGCTGGCCAAGCTAAGCCTCGAGCTGAGGATGCGTTTGCCGGGCCTGATCCAGCATCAACTAGTAAACCCTCTGAGAACTTGCCGAATTCCGCGACTGGCTTCTCTCGTGTCGTCCCTAGTTTCCTATCGCGCAGTGAAATCTCAGTCGAGTCTTACGGTTCCAATGGAGGGGGTCTTGGCTACGAGGGCACTCCTAGTGCTACCTATAGGCTGGATGAGGTTTCGGAAACCGATGGCGAGACCGTTGAGGGCAGAAATCATAGGCCGTTCAAAAAGCTTGGTAAGCGTAGTCCGGGTTTCATATTAGGGTATCTGGCAGCAAAATTCCTTCGCCCACAACTAACGGCGAATGCAGAATACTCTAGCAAAGAAGATCGAGACCGAAAGACGGCACGTGCCCGTACTCATCATCGCAACCAAACCTCCTCGACCCATGACCTTCGCTCTCAAGCACGATACCACAGAAGCCAGTCCAATTCCGCATCCAAGTCCTCGCACAAGAATAAGAGAATATACTACCCTGCTGCAGAAGACTTGAAGAACCCGCGAGACTCGTCGCCCTTGGCTGTTGAGTCTTCCACGATTGCCCATACGGGACATTCTGCAGAGGATTTATCTGGAGAAGGCAAATCTGAGAATATACCTGAAGACAACTCTCCAACCGACGCCGGCCGACGCCGACGTGTCCGCCGACCCTCTCGAATGTAGGGGACACACTTGTTATTGAACATCGAATCTCTGAGGTTCTATTTCCAAGGACCGATTCATTGTTCGTTGCACACACTCATGCTGGCGAAGCTGGCACAATCACCGACTATTACGAAGCCTGCACTTTTTTCGATGTTAATAAAACAAGCATCAAAGGATGTCATCTCCAATATCCGACCAAAGCTCTGCTCTCATCACAGCAACGTCTCTACCGACTGCTCTCGACAACGATGGAATCCGGATGCATAATTGGCGATAGGATCCAGTGATTTTGATCGAATTGAAGGAAAGTCAGACTTGGGGGGGCTGGATACCTTGCCGACATCGGCACTGCTTGTTCTTGTTCTTTTGAACTCTTTCTGTTCTATGTAGGATGTAGCTATCACGCTGCTTTGTAACATTGTGCGGGCTTGATCCATTTTGCGGATGGATGGATGGCACCTAGCTTAGTTAATTGCACTCACTTCGGTGTGCTGTGGAATGTACTTTTAGGTAGCCAAATGAATACCAAGTTGACGCGACATCAATGAGTCTAGCAGAAGTCTACGCTGGTGAAGACATAAGAGGTTGTAAATGATCCACACATGATGTTCCTCTCGTGACTCTGGTAAGTACCTAAGTATCCAATTTAATCAGAGTGAGATACGTTAGGTAGAGGCGATCAAGATAAGCGTGGGGGCTCTCTATACTTTATACTTAGCCCGAATTTGGCGGCGTTAATTCTAACACTGGCTGATTATCTTGACAAGAGGCCCGCTTGGCACAGCGGTAATGCGCCTCACTAGTATCAGAAGATTCTACTGAGAACAGCAAATGAGGAGATGACTGGTTCGACTCCAGTAGTGGGCAGCTCTTTTTGTGAATTTTTCCTCTAACAACTTTCTCCTATCGTCAATTATCTACTAGAGCATGGTTATTTTCAACCTATCTATCCCTAAGGAATATATTATATATTATATATAATTGAAGTCTTTTTGATAATGTTTTGGCGTTACCTGGAGTTTTATACCATATCATTTCGGAGGTATCTTACGGTCTGCAATGAATGACCCTTGCTATACTATCGGCTCTTTTTTCTCTTTCTACGCGAAATCACGTTGTATCATAATCACATTCAGGATGGTACTTTGAATGAAAAAGGGAAATGCTTTTTGATTTCCTGCCTCGCATTTTTGGTATGTGTACATGGCCAACCCTTTTGTGAGGGCTGTGCATTTTTTGTCTTTTCCCCTTCAGCCCCAACCAGCAGGCGTGTACAAATCCGATTGTGTGATTTGAGAAGCAGTCGCCACGTATCACTCAGTTTATGCTTATCATATCCCTTTTATTCTTCCTTTCTTCTACGAAAACCATGGCGCGTCCAAATTGCATTCTTGAGCTGCAATTTAGTCTACTCTTAAAACTCTGGGTCCCCGCTTCTTGTTGGCCTTCTTCTTCTTGTGGCCCCGCTCGAACGAGGCGGCCGACGCGTGGTCTCGGCCCACGTTATCCAGGTCCTTCACCTTGTAGATTCGGATGATCCAGTTCTCGCTGGTGTACGCCTCCTCGAGCGAATTGAGGACGGGGCTCGTGTCGGGAAGACGGGCTCCTCGGACACGGTCTTGCGCCTGTCCGGGAGGGAAGAGAGATGCGTAGTTGTAGTAAGACATCTTGTACCTAAAATTAGGAGAAGAGGATGTAATTAGCAAAATGCGCATCGACAAGAAAGGATCGGCCAAAACTCACATCAAGCTGTTCTTCATGGTTTCCGAGGCCTGGTCATCAACCCTGTATTCACCTCTGGGCGTGAAGAAATCGCGCTCCTTGACCTCGTCGGGCCAGATACCTTCGGCGATTCTCACCATCCACAGGAACTTGTTGATATCGTCACCCGAGTAGCCAAGGAGACCGCCGAAAACAACCAAAACGTAGTCGACTTCGTGCTGGCGCATGATCGGGTAGCTCACTTCCTCCCGAGAGCTCATGGCCTTGCCGACGGTGGCAATGTGGGTGTTGTTCCAGGTATTGTTATCAACGAGGGTGGGACGGTCGGCCATACCACCAATCTGGTAACCATAATCCCACCAGGACATGATCTTGGCATCCTCGTGCGTGTTCTGTCGAAGCCATTGGTAGGCCTCACGGTAATCGTCGATGATATGTTGGCTACCGTCAGGCATCTTGCTTGCCAGGACAACAGACGGAGACGAATACGCGTTCGAAGTCACCCAGGTGCAGTGCTGGACGAAAATGAGGAGGTACAGTGTCATGCAAGCAGCTATGAAGGCCTTCGACAAGTAGCTGTAGATACCCACAACAGGCTGAGATGCGGTCCGCAGCACACCGTGCTTCTTCTTCGCTGATGCACTCTCCGCGCTCTCCTCCTCTGCCTCGACGGGTTCGGGCGACTTGGCGACGAGGAACGTGTCAAGAAGCTGGGAACAAGCGATAGCAGCAGCCACACAGACCACCGGCGTGAGGGTAAGCATCAATCGCACCATGACACCGGCGAAGTAGCTTCCAAACAGGGCGTACACGATGATGAAAACATGTTCATCCTCCAGTCTCTGGAAGCAGAGGTATACACCAGCTGGGAAAAGCCAGATCAACAGATTGAGATCGAAGAAAAAGGCTGGCCAGGCGGTAGGTTGATGCTCAGACACGGACGCAATAATCGGGATGTGGATTTTGGCGTAGCCGGTATCCCATAGAGAGTAGAATCGACCAGACCAGGGGGCGATCCATCCAAAGGTAGTGAGACCTACCAAGGCAAGCACCGCAAGACCAAACACGCCACCTAGACCGGCGTAGAGGAAGGTTTGGAACTGGCGACTTGGGACAGCAGAGCGTACGTACTCGAGGAATGCCACAAGCTGGAGGAAACCGAAGATACCCAGGGCGGGCATGTGTTCGCTGGTGCGGACCGGCGAGAAGCCAACGAAGGGAATTTGCATGCTAGCCAAGGTTCCAAGGGCGTACCACGTGGTGTACGAAGTGTAGAGACGCATGCTGAATCTGCCCATGCAGACGAGGACGAATGCGTGCAGAGGAACCAAGCACGTAATGAAGGCATATCCACCCCACGAAGCCACCATGTAACCGTAGAACAGGGCGCACAAAGCTCCCCACAGCACGGAACCAAGCTTCAAGGCCTTAATCCAGAGATAGAAGGTAAAAACCAAAAGGAAGATGGCAATAGCCTCGTTATCGTATGAACCAGCAACGGATCTCGAGATGTAACCTGGAGTGATACCCATAAAAGCTGCGGCTAGAAGACCGGCGGACGGGGAGGTGGTCATCTCATTGGTTAGGAGGTAGGCCGCGTATGCAGTCAATCCGGAGAAGGCTGGAGCGAGGAGCACGCAGATGTTTCTGATGTCGACGGGAACGGTAAGGGCTCGTAGGGCGTGATAGATAGCACCACTTGTGACCATTAGACCAGGGTAGAGGGTACCTCCGGTAACTCGACCGAGGGGATGCCATGTTCGATCGTCAAACCAATCCCAGAAATCGTAGAATCCGTGGGCGACGAGATACTTGGTAGCTCGGAAGTTGAACCACGGGTCGACTACACATGGAGAAGGCCATTGTTAGTACGCCAACGTCAACGTCAAGGGAAGGGTTGGAGAGGGAGCTGCTGGAATGGGAAGTTGACTAACACTCGTGAATGATACTCTCGAAACCTGCAGATGGTAGGTTAGCAGTGCGATATTCAGGAGGAAGAACAAAAACCCACGAATGACGGAGAAAAGTCGACTTGCGACTGCGGCGCCGGCAATGAAACAGAGAATAATAACCCGTAATAGTGTCTTAGTGCTCTGGTTCTTGCCCACGTTGACCAGCAGGTCGATGGGCGAGCTGGCGTCTGCTGCGACAGCCATTGTGGGAAAAGGTTGCCGTCTGGACAATGCGGCTTATGTGGTCAACATTTGAAGATGAGTATTGTGGAAGGATGTCAGGTGTTCGGCGAAGGGTTGACGGTAGACAGTGGACGGTGGACGGTGGACGGTGAACGGCGTTGTCGAATTTCCTTCTTGGCTTGGAAATAAAACGTGGATCTAAGGATCTAAGGAGTGAGAGGACAGCTGGAGCTTTCACAAAACTTCCGCGCGTCGCTGCAAGAGCTCCAGCGGTCTATTTACAGGATTTACAGGGGTCCCAATTGAATTGATGTAAATGGTAACACAGGGTTAACCAATCAGTGATGGTATAAGTGGAGCCTATTAAGTACATGCATAACCACACAATCGAGGTAAGGAGACAAGTATCTTTACATCGATAAAAGTGCCCGACGACTATTTAAGACTGTTACCAAGAGATTCGCACATCTGCAAAAGAGTATATGATTTAAGAAGAGCAAGACCAGCAAAAATAACCAAATTAACAATAATAGCAAGAAAAACAAAAAATAGTATTCATGCCAACGTGTGATTTCTGTTGTACACTGTATTTGGTACTTCCTCAGATGTGCCAATCTTCTGGCCCTGACGAATTCATATTAAGACATGTGTAATAAACATGCATGTTAGCAATACTTAGCATTTATACTACCCTCTTCCAATGTCTTAAGACTTAAGATGAAGTAACCGTATATCTAAATCGTCTGATTTGCTCAATGGGTGCTGGTTATCATCTTCCCAATATTACCTCAAACTATCCCTCCCCCCATAGTATTACACATCACAGCCAACGTATCGTGCGAATGCTATGGAAACATGCATGCAAGTCCATTTTCTCTCGTCTTATCCATAAACATACGCAAATACTTAACAATGTGCAAAGTCTGTTAGCTAAAAGACGGGCACAAATTCACTCAACGAAGCTGAGCAGAGCTATCAAATGCCATGAATGATATATCAGACCTGGTAGTCCCAGTCTAGGTTAGCATAAATCTTGGTATTGTACACATGTACAGCGGGAACCCAATGAAATCTATGAGGTGGTTTTTTTCGGACGGCATCGCAATCGTATGATACACAGAGCCCGCAAAGTCGTCATCCGAGGAACGACCTTGATCCAACTTTCAGTGAGCTCCCTTTTCCCAGCCACCTCCTCTCACTCCCCGTCGACTCTATCGTATTCCTTTGTGTGCAGCGAGTTCCATATTATTATTAACACCCTTCACGGGTTCTGCGCTGCCAATGCGTTGAAGTAGGCTTCCAAATCGAAGTTGGGATCCATCGGGTCTTGGTCCACTAGTGGTCTCTTGTCAGTATATCCACCTCCAATTCGAAGAGAGAGAAAAAAACGTACGGGGACTCTTTGTCCGGGGTGCCGGGTTCTTGGACTTGGCGTATTCGGCACGGGCTTGCTCTATTAATTGTTGCTTGTGCTCGTATTCCCTCTTAGCTGCGGCGGCTCGTGTGTGCGAGTTGATCGTTCTCTGGTGCGTGAAGCCGTAGAAGACGCCGAATGCAAGAGCCGAGTAGCGGAGCACCTGAAAGCAATGCTGTTAGTCTCACTCTGACGATGCCCGGGTGTACGGGTGTACGGGTGTACGGGAATGGAGCTTGCCGGGGAAAACATACGTTGACTCCTGAAGTGGTAGACATTGAGCCGGTAAATAGCGCGAACGCTTTGGAGAGGGAACGAGCGATCAATTAGCGATATACGAGTAGGCGATTGGATGCCAATTGGCCCTGTTCCGAGGGGAGGTATTATAGAGTTGGTGGTTCAAGATATGAGGTGGAAATGGTGAGGCGTTACGGATCTATGGACGGCGTCGGGAAATTTCGCAGGCATATTTTTTTGCAAGCGCAGAAGCAAGCCACCTGGTCTGCCACAGCTAAACAGTTGACAGGGGGGCCGCGGATACACCCAGGATACCTGCTGAGCTTAGTAAAGTGGGACAAGGGGTGGGCGGGCTGTAT